ACGGACTCTGCCTGCCTCCTCCTTCTCCTACCTCTTCTCTGCGGACCTCAGGGACTTTGGCACTCCCGGTTTGTCCCTCGAATTTCTCAAACTCCGCCTTCAGCCTGCGGGGACCAGGCCAAGGAGCCGAGGGCGAAGAGTGAGAATCAGAGGGGCGTTAGGAAGCCAGAGACGGGCCCAAAGACCCGGCAAGGGGCACCCACTCACCCAAGCTTCTCTGCAGGGGCGCCCTGAACTTCTCGGGCTGAGAGCAGCCGTTGCTCCACCTCCTGCAGCCTGGCGCGGAGCATGGTCCCTATGGGTGGCAGGGCATCAGCGCTGCGCCCACTGCTGGGGTCCCCACCGCCCACCCAGCTGCAGGCTCACTCTCTGCCAGCAGCTGCTCCTTGCTGCGCTCTAGAATGCCAATCTCCTGGGCCAGTCGCTGCTCCAGCATCTGCGGGGACAGAGAGACCTGTCACTGGTCTGCTCTTGGCTGCATTGCCCACTCTCTCCCTTTGTGTTTCTGGCACAAAAGATCTGATGACCAGGCTGGGTCTTTAATAAGGTCCCTCTAATCCCTGTGGTCCAGACCCTTACCTACCGGAGGCCTCTCACTCATACCCTTATTAACTCCACCTGCAGTTTCTGGGTGGCTGGAGACTTACTTCTCCCCAGGGCTGCTCCATGTCCCTGTGTATCTCTCATTTCTTCCCCAGCCACATGGTCCTCCATTCCCCCGTTTGCTGTTCATCAAACTTCTCAAATGTCCCAGGCAGAGTTCCGCCTCAGGGCTCTGCACCAGGCTTTCCTTCTGCCAGGAACACCCGCACCCACACAGTGCCGGGCTTTGTCCCTCACTCCCTTCAGTTCTGCTCTCAGATGGTCCTGCTCAGAGGCCTTCCCACTGGTACAGGACCTGCCCAACCTGCTTCCTTGGTAGGATTCTGGGTATGCTCCAACCAGCCAGCTTGGGGTGGCAAACACGGGTTCACCACAGCCTCTCTCTGCCTGGGTGCTGCCCGAAGCACCCATCAACAGCTGGAGGAAGGCTTTCTCCAGGTTCCCATTTGCCACCGCCAGGTGAACTCTCTCTAGGTGAGCAGGAGGGAAGCAGGATCTGCAGGCTATGGCGACAATCCCTAGGGATGCTGGATGTGACGGTGGTGCGTGGTGAAAAGTGTCCAGATGTGAGGGGAAAGGTGAGCAGAGTCAGGGACTATCACATGGCATTGGACCTGAGTAGGGGGCGGGCGCTGGGCCAGTCCACAGGGACACTGAAGCAAGGGGGGAGTGGCTTTGGTTGCAGGCAATCATGGCTTACATGGAACTCCCAGAGGTCCTTGTGCTGGTCCATCAGATCCTCCAGCTGCTCTTCCACATCCAACCTGAGGACGGAGACCCAGGAATGAGATCCCAGGCTAGACCAACACCCAGCGTGGCCGGGTCTGGGGCTCCTCATGCCTAAGCCTTCAGACCACCGCCCCCTGCTCTCTCTGCTGGAGTCCCTTCATGGGCTTTACCCTCCAGCCTTGGTTCCAACGTCTCCTCTTCCAATAAACATTTCCTGAGGCAAGTCCCACTGTCACTCCACCCAATGGCCCTCTAGACCTCAGGCTTTGGAGTTACCCCAGGTTTCTCTCTTTGTGATTCTGAAATCTGAGAGTTGTGTACAGGAATGTGCTCCTGCACCATGTGCTTCCTGGGAAAGACCACCTTCAGTCATATTCTCTGACTGAGCCCCTCTCTCCAGCAGGAGTGGGGGTGGGGCATCTCTTCACATTTACCCACTGCCTTGCTTCTGTGGAAAGTGAACCTTCATGGGCCTCTGTCAAGACCATCATTCTGCTCTGCCTGTTCCCAACAGAACTGTGCCTTCCCAAGAAACTTTATTAGGGGTATGGTAATTTAGTAAAGTGCATTCTAAAATCCTGACTTGAAGCCTACATATTCTACTCCACTGTGATCCTGGACAAGTTTACTTATTCTTTTTTCCGGGTCTCACTTTCCCCATACATAAAAGGTGGTAGTGGTGTATTGTGAGGATTAGGTAAATAAATGGACACAAACATTCACCAGACTGCATGTTGTGTGGTTAAGCATACACACACATTAAGTACCTATTATCAAGTTTCTCTATGCAATTAAAGTCATGGTGTCCTGGGACATGGGACTTTTTTCATAGGATGATGCTAAGTAAGATTCGAAGAGAAGAATGGATGAACAATTAACTGGATGGTGAGTGGTTGTAGGAGAGATGATGAGCGGAGGGACGATGGTTCAATGGAGAAATAATGGAAGGACTGTGGAAGGATGAGTAGATCTTTGGATGGGTGGTTGGGGAAGAAACAAATGGCTAGATGAAGGGATAATGGGAAAGGTGTAGAGAGGATGAATGCCTGGTTGGATGGATAGAAGAGGATTAGACGGGAGATTGAAGGTATGGCCATTGGACGATGCAGCTGGCTCGCTGGGTAGGTGAATGGATGAATGAGTGAGCGGGGGCGGGGCAGATGGACAGGCAGGTGAAATGATGACTGGGGACCTAAAATGAGCAGATAGATAAATGAATGGGTGGATGGAAGAGCTGGATGGGTCATAGGGAGAGACTAACAACAGTGGGTGGAGTTTATTTGACAAAGAAGTTGTAGTAACAAGTTTCTAACTGTTCAATCACTCTATTGACACCATTTAGAAAACTAAATGACCAGGGAAGTTTCGTCTGGATGCTGTACCATAGAGAGGGCCATGAGGGGTGTGGAGTCAAGATTCTCCATCCTCACTCTTGCTCCCTCCTCCTCAGGGTGGAGAAGGAGTTGGGCAGAGCTGGGGTAGGCCTCTTACCTCGGTGCCTCACTGTCCCTCTCCTGGCAGTGCTGTCGCAGGATCATCACCGCCTCTGTGGAGAAAGGAACCAAGATGGCGCTGTGAGAGCTCCTGGGGGCCCAGGGTTGGGAAAAGGCAAGGGGCCCCACATCACACTGGGCACTGGGAGGTACTGAGAAGACTCGGGTGTGTATGTCAAGTGAGGAGGCAAGCCAGGAGGGATTTGAGCACAAGAGGGACTTGGGTTTCAGTGGGAAGGACGCCTCTGGCTGCTCTGGGGACTGGGTTTCTGTGAAGTGGGGTTAGAAGGAGGAACATGAAGCAGCAGGTAAATACCTTGCTTTTTGCTCAAGACCTCCTCGATGTGCACCTTCTCTCCATTCACTGGAAAGCACAACGACACTTTTAGTTCCTTGGGGCCACATCCCATGTCCCCTTCATGTCAAGGGCAAAATCACATGGGAGTGATGGCATGGCCCCAGGAGAGGCAGGATATGTTCTTACTACCTCTGTACCCATCTCCCACGGGGAAATTCCTGACCCGGCTTCACCTCAGGGACCATGTTCCCTGTAAGTGCCAAAGGAGTGAGCACCCTGAAGCCTGTACGGAGTTTACACTGAGGACAGAGATGACCATAAAGAAGTCAGTGACCTGTCAGGTGGGAATAAATGCTTTGAAAAAAGGCAGATCAATCAGGAGAGTGAGAGGACCAGAAAGAGGGTGGGAAGCTAATTTTAGACGATCCCATCAAGTTGGGCCTATTGGGCTGTTGGAGCCGAGAGCTGAAGGACGACGTCACAGAGCAAGAGGCAGTCTGGACTGGGAGGGCTAAGAGCTTTGCCAAGGCCCTGAGCCATTGCAGGAACACCAGCAGTGGTCACAGGATCTCTGGGCCCCTCTTTTGTCCCCACTTACAGGAGTCTAGTTCCTTACACAAGACCTCCCGGCGAGCTTGGGTCTCTCCTAGTTCCTCGTTGGCTTTCTTTGCTGGGCCAAAGGAAGAAAGAAGACTGTGTTAGGGCAGCCTCTGGCCTTGCTGTGCTACCACACACCATGACACGTTCTCTCCAAACAGCCCTGGAGGGGCCTGGCTTTTACAGTGGACCCGGGGGCATTCAACATCCAGGCCTCTCCTGCTGGCCCAGCTGGCCAGTCAGGTTCCCAAGTTTACCTTGCTGAAGCTCATTGATCCGGTTAATCAGATCCCCAATCTGCGGCTCCAGGCTTCCCTCTAAAGAAAGGAAGAAGGATTGAGTGGAAAAAGACAGATGCCTGGCCATGCAGGTCAGGAGCAGGGGGTGGTGCATGCTGGCTCTGGGCCTCTGCTGCTATCAATCAACAGACATTTACTGAGCCTCTGCTGTGTGCTGGGACTGTACAAGGCGCCTTGCAGGGTTTACATTCTGGATGGGGGAGACGGATATTGAACAAAGACATATGAGTGAGTTTGGGTGGCAGTGGTTGCGGTGCAGGGAAATAACCCGAAGGGAGGTGTTGAAGAATGACAGGGTAAAGGCTGCTTCTTGAGATTTGAAAAGTCCAAGTCAAGTGGGGTCTGTTGGGGGAGAGCATGGGGAGGAAACCGTTCCAGGCGGAGGGAACCAGCGCAAATGCCCTGCGGTAGGAGTGGGGGAGGCTTGTGTCCCAGGCAGCAGGGAGGGGCTGGTGTGGTGGAGTCTAGCCAGCAGGTGGAGAGGAGCAGGAGGAAGTGGGAGGGGAGGTCACTCAGGGCCCCTTGGGCCGTGGAGGCCATAGATGCCATCCTGAGTGAGGCAGGAGTGGGGGCTCCTGGATGGCCCACCCTGGGAACAGCTAGGCAGAGCAGGTCAGCTTCTGCTAACCTGGACTCTGAGGTTGGCCTCCTGAGAAAAGAGGGCAAGGCTTTCATGTTGCAGGTGGCAGCTGGCCAGCCCCCCGGTGACAGGGAGATCACTGTCCCTTTAGGAGTCACCTCTCACTTCTCAGTCCCTGGCTCCATGGTGGGTAAACTGAGTGGGCAGAGCTGGGCGTAAAGCTGCCCCACCCCTGGCAGGCCTCACTGCCAACCCAAGACAGTATGGAGTTAATAAACTCAGCTTAGGTTTTCTGAGATCACCAACTCCTCCACCTGTACCTTTCAGAGAGCGGGCCTCTTTGCAGTGCTATCACATCTGACAAGTCTCTGGGGGCTGAGGGGTCCTTTGTATTACTGGAGAAGGTCGGGTCATCTTCTTACAGGGTCAGTCTAGGCAGGGGTCCCAAATTCTTCTGCAGGAGCCACAGGATGGGGGAGGGGCTCCCTTTTGTTTGGCATAGACCAGTGGAGCTCAGCATCCAAAGCTGAGAATGGGCTGGGCTCTAACCTCAGCCTCCCCAGCGCCAGCACTCTGCTCCAGCCCTGATGTGGGTACCTGCAAGCTGGCCCCAGGCCCTTTGCAACATGGCCACTTGCTGCTTGTACATCAAAGGGAAGACAAAGGAATATTTGCCTAGGAATGTATTTGTTTTCAAGTCTCTGTAAAGATACTTAACAACTTAAAAGCAGCTGTTGCTCACCTGTGGACCAAGGAAATGGCTGACTGTGTGTGTGTGTGTGTGTGTGTGTGTGTGAGAGTGTGTGTATATGTTAATGTGTGTTAGTGTGTGTATGTGTTAGTGTGTGTGTGTGTGAGAGTGTGTATGAGTGTAAGTACATGTGTGTGAGTGTAAGTGCGTGTGTGA